TTTTTAAGACCTTGAGCAAGGAAGTGTACTTCATAGATTGCTTTTCTTAACACCGATGCAATCCACTTGCACTCTCAGCCATTTAAGTAGAGTGTACATTTGTATGTGTGTGTGTGTGTTAATTCCACATGGAGACCTAATAATGTGCCCGCATTTTCATCACAGTGCTCTTCATGCGTTCTTTAATGGGGTATGCTAGCCGTATGGGGAGGTGGGGGGCTCTAGGTTTTGGATAGATCACTTGTGACATTAATAGCTCTGGGGAGGCTAATAGAGACAATAGGAGTTAAACGAACTCTTGAGAGATTACTAATAAAAGAGCCAATTATCATGTCGACTTGGAAAGAGCATCTCTTAAGATTTATCCCTTGCACATCTAATTTGACGTGACAAAGACTTCACAGATGCAAAAAACTAAATTTTAAACTAGCGAAAAATATACTGATTTCAGGTTAGAAATGAGAACAGTTTTATATAGCATCGTCTCTGGTAATGCCTAAAATCCTGAGATATAACATTACCACCATAGCCAAAGGGAAAAAAAAAAGCTGCTACCAAGAGTGAATAGCATTTCATCCAAGAAAGTTTATTTCTACTCACTATAAAATCCAGTATAAGTTACAAATCCATTCAAACACTGAACACTTCTCTAACAATTTCTGCTCTAAACAAATATGCTAATAATCTTGACATGTTCAAGATGCTAATTTTAACCAAAGCTAAATTTTGTTAACCTAATTCACAAAGTGTTTTTTTTTTAAATCTTTAGACAGCTAACCAGAAACTAAATTGAAGGACATGACACTTTATGTTCTTTGACAAGGAGTGTTTTTCATCATTGGTTTTTACAGTAATATAAAATCATGTGTACTACTTTAGCATGGTCCATTTCTTAACCCTAATGTTCTTAACTCCACACAACAACGAATTAAACTATTAAACCATTTTCAGAGTTAAAAATGCCACTTCCAAATCAGCTCAGTCAACTCTAGCACAACTCATGTGTCTGTCCAAATATCATTAAACTAAATTAAATGGTCAAATCATGAATCAGAACAAAGCTAGCCTGTTGCCACTACCCAGATACTGAAAGCTGATTATTTAAGCAAAGCTCCTCTATGCCTATCTGTTTGCTAATTCTGAGCCTTTAGGAAATCCTATTTGAAAAAAATAAATACAGCTCTGCAAGTTCTTTTAAATAGTACTCTGCTTGTAAGGACATGCTTGGAATGCAGAAGGAAATGGCTTACCTTTCTTAATTACAGTTTGATCTGGGATGTTAATACCCGGGTCTTCTACATGCTGCAACAAAAGGATACACATGGATGTAAGTGTGTGATCAAAACAAAAGGAAATGAATATTCCCTGTGAGGTGGGGGAGGGGAAGGCAGAGAATCAAAATTCTCCCTCCCTCATAATGACATTTATATACAAACATCTTATCTTGGCTTATGGCAATTTGGAGCTTTGCAATTCAAGAGGTTTCACTGCACACCCAAAGCCAGTCTCTCCTCCCCCAGCAAATAATCCACATTTGGAGCGGGTGGGTGGAGGATAAAACTTTCTTTGGAAATTAAATCAAGTTTAGGGGAGTAACTAATCATTCTCACAGGCAGTGGAAGTACACCTAGCTTTAGTCTGGCATCTCAGCAGCTTCTGCAGCCAAAGCCAGAGAAACACAATAGAAAAGACAGGGGCGGAGGTAACAGGAGTGTGCTGGAAACCCTTTGGGTAGTGTAATAAAGAGCAAGCACATGCCTTCACTTATATTAAAAAAAATAATACTTAAAGACCACTACCTAAACTAGATATGACAGGACTGTGAAAATGGTTCAAAACAAAAACCTTTGGAGGTTGCTTTCCGGTTGTCCAGTAACACATTTGCCATTGGTGAGGTTTTTTTTTTTTTAAGATGGATGGATATATGTGTGTGCTAGAGTCAAAACGTGATTAGAAAGTAAAATGAAATCATGTTTTCTAATGCAGAAACTGACAGGCAATATAATGTCTGGCTGTGTTTACAAATTAGCACCAGGGCTGCTGAGATAGAAGATTTCACAATCGTTACCAAACACAGGCATTACCATTTAAAAAACTATTACTTCCTTCTCTAGTCTTTGTCCAACAATAATACTGATTCGAACATTTTCCATTCTATCTTGGATTTATGCTCCTGTTAATTGTGCCTGATCGCAATGATTCCGGGTGGATGGTACTAAGTTGCTTTATTACAGGTTTTATTATACTCAATGCTCTCATTTGTAACTTGCCTAAAGTGCTTCTGGATTTAAGTATAATTAAATTGAGAAATGTTCAGAAATGACTAGTGCTACAGTTCTTATGTTTTAACTATATGGGAAATATGATCCCTCTATGCATGCACCCTAAACCCATAAAGTAAATGTAGTGTGGCATAATACTTTTATTTGTGTTATTTCTAGACCTTGTCCATATAGGGAAGACTGCTAAATTTAAAACCCCACTGAGATACTAATGATTAAATAATTTTCACCATCGATTTGATTTTCTTAAATATTTAGCAGACTTTCTTATTAAAGGTTAACTGTTGCAGCTTGGGAAAATTGAAAACAACCCCTTTCCTGACCCAAATTCCTTTGAAAGAATTTTTTTTTCCCTTAAAAGGTGGGGGAGGGAGAAGGAAGAGCAGCAACTGGCTTTCCTTGGCTTTGATTTGCTCTTTCTGCTAATTTCTCCTACTGGCTAATTTTACCACAAAGAATCACCACACAGGTACTAAGAATTCCCACCAGCCACTACCTGAAATTTTTGCAAAGTAGAGCAAAAGGTTACAATATTGCAATTCAAATATTCCAAACAAGGTAAAGGATTCAGAGACACTTTGGGAAATGGAACTTTAAAAAAAAATCACTTCTAATGATTTTTAAAAAAAACGCTTTCTTTATAAATTACTACCCTGCTCATTTTACTTCCCCAAATATGCACTGTTAAGTAGCAGTTTTTAAAGACATGTAAACACACTGCTGGCTGGCCCCTCTACTAGTTCAAGTACCTGCCTTCCTGTTCTCCAGGCAAGGCTGCTAAACAAAACCAACAAATTGTAGTGATTAACTGGGCTAAATGAGAGACGCAATAAATTTTCTATTTTTCCTATGGAACTGAAATAATGTTTAAAATCCACTAAGTGAGCAGGTAGGTTCATGTGACCATTTCCTCTACAGTCTAATACAGTAATCATTAAACTGTCAACGGACATACTGCTGCTATATTTGATGCAGTAATTTGAAATAGCATTTTAGCAAAAATCACATCCAGATACATTCCCTTTCCAAAGAAAAAGCAGCTTTTACAGAAGCCTTTACAGCTTTAATAAAATTATTGCTTGCTCTAATTCCATTTCAAGAAGGTTGTGAGGAAACTATAAGTATGTAGAATTGAAACAGAGATGCTGGTTTAAACATAATTTTAGAGAGAATTTTCAAATTATCAATCCCCTGGTTTGCATTGTAAACAGTAAATGTGCTAATGCCATGCTTATTTAGAAACCATCTCAAACTGCATTTATTGATAACTGAATTAGAACTCAAATAACATATTACTCAATAGTCTCTGAACATTTAACTTAATAGAGAGTGTAGCCAGTTCTGATAGGCATTTGGGAATCTGGCTAATGATTTATGAGGTCAGCACTTAGCACCCCTAGGAAGAGAACAGAGTTGAATTTTAATATCCCTCTGCTTGGGTCTGCAACTTACTTTTCTTCAATCGGGATAGGATATAAGTAACTTTTAGGTTTGCCTAATGCTTATAAGATCCAGCTTAAAGGATCTCTCTCGCTTCTTTTACATTATGTGGCTATTTGAGGCTCTCGGTGAAATCTTAACGTCTTTCGCAGGACAGAGAAACATCCCCACGCCAGACTCAGCGATGGAACTAGGTCCTCTCGCAATCAGTTTACTGTCGGAGAGGGGAACGGATGGTTAATGATGACATTCGTCTGATTTATTTCTGTGTCGGTGGTAGTGGCCATGGAGGCATTGTTTCAGGCAGCTCCGGGAAACCATTGTTCTGCGAGCAGAACTCTCAATTACTTTTTAATTCTTTTTTAAAATTCAGTTGTTTATTGGGTCCTTCAAGTATTTCCCTCCCCTCCCTCCACAAACGTTTTATAAAGGAAAATATATAATAAATATATCATAGATGCATATAGAAATATATATCTCTCATTTAGGCAAAACCAAGGCTCGCGGGATGCTTGTTGCCAGTATCTTCTTTAAAACTAGGTGCGCAGGGCGTTGCGCCCCCCTTCCGAGCGGCCTCTTACCGGGACGTCCTCGATGGCGTGAGGTAATGCGTGGATGGGGAGGTCTCCGAGTCCGGAGCCGAGCCCGTGGGGGCCGTGCAGGAGGTCCTCGTGCCGCCGGTAGTCCCTTCGAGGATCCAGGCCCGACAGCTGATGGGGCAGCCCCCGGTGCGGGTGCAGGAGCCCAGACTCCTGGCTCTGCCTCTGGCCGGGCCAGCCCGGGTGCTGCGGCTGTGGCTGGGCGTGCAGGGGGTTCAGGCTGTAGGGGTCGTTGACGTGGGAGTAAGGATCTTGCGACTGGGGGTAGATAGGCTGGTAGGGCGGGGGAAAGTAGGGGGGCTGGAAGTCGGCATTAGGGGTGTGGGACAGCGGCGGGGCGCTGGTGTAGGGAGATTGACCTACAGTGCCCAGCTGGGGCAACCGTGCCGTCCCGTTGCTGGTGCCGTCGTGACGGTCCTGTAAGGGGGCGAGAGAAAGGAGAGGGGGAAAAAACAACAACGAGAAATCAGGCGTGGAGTTCAGCTGTTCCCACTCAATACACGCGGCCAGCCTGGGTGGGAAATTGCCCGTTCCCCGCCCCACCCCGTAGGCCACCGGGTGTGTGTGTGTGTGTGTGTGTGTGTGTGTGTGTTGGGGGGTGGGGGTGGGAATCAACTCTATTCATTTAGGAAAATAGCCCCCAAGTAAAACAGGCCCTTCCAACAACGCGAAGGAATTAGATTGTGTAAATAACAGGGACACGAGCGACACTCCTTAGGCGTTTCATTCAAAGGAGGGGGGAAAAGATCCAAAAGGGTCTCCTGCAATAGAACCCGTTAAATTGCAGCATAAAAACCTCCCTGAAGCAAAATTAAAACTCCTACTAAATATTAAAGAGCAGAAGCGGCCTTTTCCTTTCTCCCCAGATTTGAAATCGGTCTGCTACCGCGTTATTGTTGACTCTCTTCCATTTCTTTGGAGGGGGAAAAAATCATAAACCTTCAAAGACTATTACCGTTTCATGACTATTTAAATAGAAACATATTTCTGCGCATGGGGGGCTGTAACGAAAGCACACGTTTAAATTACCAGCTTAAAGAAGGTTTTAACTGCAGGATCAGGGGGGTCTGTGTTTTCCGCTTCCTCGCTTAGGAGCCTTTTCCACCACAGGGGCGATTTATGATATGAATGGGGGAGAAGGGAGGCATTCAGTCAAGGTTTAAAACAGATTCAGCTTTTACTGGGTTTGGGAAAGAGAGGTGCACCCCAGAGCGGGGGGCGCCCCCCTCCCCGCCCCTTCCACCCCAGCCCCAAAGGGCAGAAGAAACGCCTGACTTTATATTTCTCTATTGCAATTCAAGCAAAGAGTTGATTCCAGGGAATTCGAACCCTCGGAGGCTCAGAGGCAGGCAGGCCCCCGAGGGTAAGGGCAAACCGAGCTGCGTTTTTCCTACACGTAGACAAGATTAAGCATCAAATGTGGAGACGATTTCGGGAACCAGGAAGACGCAAGGAAAATAAAGAACGTGGCCAGAAGCGCCTTGGGGGAGCAGCTGCGGGGTAAGTCTGCAAAGAGGTAGAGCAAGAGGCGGGCGGTGGGGGGGGGGTGGCATTGCATTCGAATGAGGAATGGAAAAGAAGAGCGAGAGATGGGAGGAAAGGGGGGGACGAAATGCAATGGACAGGGGGGAATGTCTTGAAGGAAACGGAGTCCGGGAAGCCCGAGTCTTTCAGGCTGCTTCGCCGTACCAGGTTTCCAAGCCTTCAATTCTTAAGGAATCAGGGAATGAGGGATGGAGAGGTGGAGGCGGGGGAGGGGGGCTGGGGAGCGGGGCTTGGGGGGGGGGGGGGGGCGGACGGGACTCACCATAGCTGAAAAACTGTGAACTAACATCTGCGAAGAGTCTGGGGTAACCAGTCAGGATGGAAAAATAAAAAAAACCAACAACAACCAAGCAAGCCTGGGTGGAGTACGGGGCTGCCCCGCGGCCCGAGCGCGCCCCGACACAAAAGGCACCGAGAGCCCCCGCGCCACCTCGGGCTCCAGTCACCGCGCAGACGCTCCGGCGAGCGCGGGGGACCCGCTCGGCTCCATCCGAACTTGAACCACCGATTCGCTCGGCGCCTTCCGCTGCTCCAACTCACGGGCTCTATCCTGCCGTGATCGATTCTAAGTCAAAAAGTTCTTTTTCAAAAAGAAGAAAAAGAAAAAAAAAAGAACCCCCCTCCCCAAAAAAAGGCCAAAAAAAAGTGTGTGTGCGTGTGCGCGCGTGCGTGCGTGTTCCTTAGTAATCCGTGTCTCCCCCTCTTTCTTAGCGGCGGCTTCACTTGAGCTTCTAATAACCGCGCTGGCCAGCGTTCCTGGAGCCTCCTAATAGCAGATATTCATGACTATTAATATTACACGAATACTTAATAAGGGAAGAATGCCTGGAAATCGAGCGTGAAGCGGAGAGGCAACTCGCGCCGGAGCCGGCTCTCAATGCAGTCCATTGACGGGAGTCTCAGTGTGGCAAATCGGAGGTGGGGAGAGGGAGCGCGAGAGACAAAAAGCGGGCGAGAGAGGGAGCGGGCGAGCGCGCGGGGGGCCGCGGCGCGGCGCCTGGCGAATCACAGGGAAGGGGCAACATTTTAAAAGGTTGCGGGGCATGCAAAACTGAAAGAGAAAGAGGGGGACGGGGAGACCGAGGCAGAGGGCGCGGAGAGGGAGAATGCGTCTGCGAGCGTGTGTGAGAAAGAAAGTGTGGGCGAGGGAGTGGAGCTCGGAGTGGGGAGAGGGGAGGGAGGGAAGGAGGGAGAGCCCGGAGAGGAGGAAGGGAGGGAAAGAGGGAGGGAGGGAGGGAGGAGGGGGAGGGGGCTGAGTCGGAGCTCACGAAGGGGGGGGAGGTGGGAAGCCGCGGGGAGGGGGAGGGGAAAGGAAGCGAAGAGAGGACAATCAGACCTAAAAGGCTGGGGCAGACCTCGGGATGCGGCGGGGGTCGCGGGTAGCGGGCGGGAGCTGCCGGAGACCGCGTCCGGGCGTTCATCGGGCTCTCCGATCCGGAGATGCTCCCCGGTCCTCTCCGACCCCGGGCTTCCCGGCTCCTCAGCCGGGCCTGGGAGTCGGGACTCAGCTGCCCGCTGCCGTGCCTCTGCTCCTCCATAACCCGGTGCCTGCCTGGGGACCAAGCCCGCCCACTTCACGGGCCCTTCTCCCCTCCTTGATCTCCTCTCCGAGCCCGGGGCTGTGCTCTCTCCGTGGCTGCTGCTGTTCTGCGCCCTGGGCTCTTTGGCAGTCCGGGTTCCGAAAGCCCGGGCCAAGACGCGGCCCCGGGCGCGCACAGACGCGAAGCGGCCCAGCTAGGGCGCCGCTGGCAAGGGCTCCCGGCTCAAACCCGTCCGACTGGCTGGGCCACTCCCGCCCGACGCCCCCCCAGATGACACGGCTAGCTCTCTCCGCGCCCGCCGCTGCCAGTCCGCCCGCTGGGTTGTCAGAACAAGCGGCACCTCGCCCCCGGCGTGTCCCTGCAGAACCCCGGCAAAAATCAAACAGCCCCGAGCCGGCTCGGGAAACCCGAAATCCCCGCTCCAGCGCGAGCTGCCGTCACCAAAGTTGTGACTTTACCCTCCTCTTTCCCGTCTCTAACACACACATTCACGCGCAGCCCCCCCCCCCAGCCCCTCTGGGGGTGCAAGTTCATCCCTGCCCTTCCCCTCCGGAGCCTTTCGGAAGAGGTTCGGAACCCGCCCGCGCCTAGAAGTGGGTTTTGGCCTCTGCGAAAAGTGAAATGCCCTAGCCTGGGGACCAGAGCTCAGAACCCGTACAGAACGCCTGGTCCCAGAAGGAGACCCCCCCCCCGGTGTCTTGCAAACCTGCTAGCAGCCCCCCCACACACACCCCACCCCCGCGCCAGCCAGGCAAACAAAGCGGCTGGCCTGACGTAGGGTCCCGGCGCCCCTCCCTGGGCGCGACAGGAGCCCCCCGAGAAACGCCAGTACCGGTGGGATGTCACCCGATGCCCCCTCCACCGGGAAGAGTGGGGGTGGGGAGGCAGGAAGGAGCGCCTGGAAGGAGCACGAAGTAAAATAGTATTCAGAGAGAGAGAAGGGAGGAGGGAGCGGGTGACACATCGTTCACATAAACCCAGTTTCTGATTTCAAGTAAAGACAAGACTCCCGTCGCTGCGCCCTGGCGCAGACGTCGAGGGCCGGAATTCCCAGTTCCAAATGCCAAAAAGAAAGAAAGAAAGAAAATGGAGGGGGCGATGACAAAAGTCAGGGTCGCTAACGCATTCAGGTATTCTGGTCTCGCCCACCCCTCTCCTCTCCCGGGACGCATCAGTTCCTTTCAATGGGGTTTCGAAAGGGAAGTTGAGGCCGGTTCTCAAGTGCCTCCAGCGAGCGGATGATTTCGTTCCCTGGCCTCGCCTGCAGCCCTCAAGAAGTCCAGCTCTTGGGAACCAATTGAGTTTTAAAATAGGTTCCAAAGGGACGCGCTCTGTGGGCCCGGCGAACTGGCGGCACCAAAGGCAGCCAGTCACTGCCAGGATTCCCACGGTCGCGCAGCTGAGCGGGTGCAGGGGCGGGTGCGCCGGGACCCGGACCGGCCAGGAGGCTCCACACCGCGCGTCCTCGCCACCGCCACTGCCACCTCCGTAGGGGTGTAGCTCGGCTCGAGAAGCCTCTTAGAACTTCTTGAAACGCAGAGACTCAGGCGTGAGCACCGCAGCCAGGGTGAGTGCTCTACTAAGCCGAATCCTTTTACAGAAAGGTGCAAGCCGGGTCCGAGCAAAGTGTGTGGGGGAGGGGGGGTCCTGTCTCCAGATCCAAGAGGAGACCCCCCCTCCTTAGAAAGAACGGAAGGAAGAAAGGAAAGGAGGAGGAGAGGAAGATGAAATAAAATAGAAGAGAGGAAGTCACAGGGAGAAAGGGCTTTCTTTTCCTTTCTCTTCTTTGTAAGTTGGGCCCCCAGATTCTCGTTTAAGACACAGGCGGAGTGCATAGGCGCGTGCCTAATTGCCAGCAGTTGTTTCCAAAACCCATTCTCAATTCTTCGTTCCCCTCTTAGGCATAGCCAAAAGTGGTCAGAAAAAAAAAAGTGGGGGAAGGAAAAGTAGGACACGATCTTCCAAGTGAGGAAATGGAAAAGAAAAAAGAAGGAAAAAAAAAAAGGAGCGTCCGCGTCCTCCCGCTCCAGTTTCTCCCCGGAGTACTCCGCGCGAATCCGAGGGGCGGGTGCTGAGCTGGTGAAAGTTTGTTCCACCCGCGATTCGCAGATGGCTTGTTGGGAGAGGAGGTGGAGAGGGAGGGTCGATCTCCGGAGCCTGTGGCCGCAAAGAAGACTGAGCCGGCGCCACGCTTACCTCGCAGTCTTCGTACTTGATATTATCCGTCAGTTTCCAAAGCATTTTCATGGGTCGGCGTGAACGGATTTGTCCCTCTCCGCCTCGCACCCAAGTGGAGCTACTCTCGGGGTAAGCGCAAAGTGCAGGCTGCCGGCGGTAAGCTCGGGAGGAGGAGGAGGAGGAGGAGGGCGAGGAGGAGGAGGGAAAGAGGAGGAGGGCGAAGAGGAGGAGGTGGAGGAGGAGGAGGAGGGTCAGGAGGAGGAGGAGGGCCAGGAGGAGAAGGGCTTGGAGGAGGAGGAGAAGTGTAAGAGCTCCCGTGTGCGCTCGGAGGTCTCCCTCTAATGGTAGAAACTTTTCCCTTTTCCAGCTCGGCACCAACAGCCTAATCGCCTCATTAGCATATCAACAATAGTCCAATTGCTCGCCAGAACCACATTCTGCCGCCGGCTGCTCGGACCCAGGTATAAAGGCCTCTCCAAGCCTGGACCTGGCTTCCAGAGCGCACGCCTGCTTGTTAGGCGACAAAATTCTCCCAGAACTCCACTCGCTCCCTGGTCCCAGTGGCCCTCACTCCAGCCCAATTTCATCCCATTCGGCTTTCTCTCGCTCTCTCTCGGCTTCCTACAGGCTAGAGATGCCCCCACTAACGCTGGATTATACGAAGAGTCCGAGTGGCTGCGTCTAGGGACCGCCGCCACCATTCAGGCTGCCCTTTCGGCCCCGTCCAATATTATTAGAAATCATTACCCCTTTCGCAATTAAATAGAACCACCAAACTAAGACCAGAGAAGCCACTCCAGGATTTTTGCCCAACAAGAGATCGCCTCCACTCATGACAGCTAACCCCTCGGGGCCGCAGCGTCTTGGGAGTTTTATTGGCTTTTGCGCATTCCCCCAGGATGGAGATTTTGTCAAAGGGCTCCGGGTTTGCTCGGCTGGGGTTTGCAATCTCTTAATTGCTGTGTGTATAATAAAAGTTGTACCCTGAAGAGGTTACTCGACAGCTCCAGGGGTTAAATGATTTTCCTCGGTTTGTATGAAGCTGGGGCCAACTGACAATTCAACATGATGTTCGGGCTGAGGCTTCCCAGGTGCGACTTAGAAAAGACTACAGAACTCCTATGGAGACTCCAGTCGCTTCCGCAGTGAGCCAAAATGCAGAGCCGTGTGCGCCTGCAGATCCATACCCAGTCATACATGCATCAAAATAAATCATCGGGAACCAACACTTCTCTCTACTAATCTGCTCTGGTTTTCCCAAGATTCCCCCTTTTAATTAAAGAAGGGAGAGTTCCTTTCTGATTTAATGTCACTACGCGGGTGCACAAGCGGCGCAGTGCCCGTCGAACCAGAAACCGAGAGGCCGGGAAGCCACCCCCTTGTCCAAATAGGCTACTTCGGGTTCTCAGGCTCCACAACAGAGTCTGTTTGCTACATTGGGATTTTTTTCTTCCGCTTCTTTTCCCCCTTGTTTTAGGGAATTTTTTTTAAATAAGAAAAAAATAAGTAGGGGAGACCTAATTTGATATTTTAGAAATACAGAGTAACTTCTTTGGCTGACCTTTTCCTCTTGTCCACGCACACACACACGTTTCCATTTGTCTTTCTTCCTGTGGAATGCCACAAACCCCTAAACAGTAAATCTCCTCTTACCTCTGGTTCATCTGGGTCTGTTTCTCAAAAAAAATCTCCCAGATTTCTAAAATATATCCTGTATGGAGGCAGAAGCTGTTTGCAAATCCCACTGCTTCCTAACAGGTGGGATTAAGGCCAGAGAATGGAAGAACCTCACCCCAACCCCATGCAACCCTGAAGTGGGCCAATTCTCCCTCCAGAGAACTTTTCTTCTGGGAGGCCCGATGCCTCCCAAAGGCTGGAGATAAGGCTAGAGCTGGCAAGGGAATCCAGTGCCAGAGGGATGAGCCTTGGAGCCCTGGGCACTCCCTTGCAACCGGCTTTCCTTGCCTGAACAGTTCTTTGGCTGAACGGGCACCCCACTCTGCCTAGGAAATTGCCTACTTCCAGGGAAGGACCCTGTGGGTCTGCCCCAGGGCCTGCCGCCCCGCACAACGACTTTATGTCAGAAACTGGGCCACCGGGAGCCGAGTACCGCTTACTCCGCCATCCTCCCTGCGGCACCCATACATACCCCTGGTCTGTGACCTGTAGGCCAAATTCTAGGCCTGAGAGCACAATGTTTTACACCCAGCAGGCTCGCGGTAGTGCTTAAGGGAACTCTTAAGTTTCGTTTTCTTCTCCTTCTACCCAAGGGCTGAAGAAGGCCTTTCGGACTCTCAATCTCACCTCTCCACCCCTCCACCCCAGGCCCGAGCCCCGCTGATCTCTGGCTCCGCACCCGCAGGGATTGCTAAATTGTTGTGTATTCCTGCCAAGGGCGCCATTG